ACTTTAGGTTAGCTGAAAAGAGAAAACGTCCTTTCTGCCAAGTTTGGGCTGCCTCATTCTCATTTGCTGAATTCCTGGTTGCCTGCTGTGTCCTGCAAGTATATTTGTGAGAATAAGGAGGCTCTGAGAGTAGACTGCTCTCTGTTCACAGTGAAGGAGGGATGGCAGACACTAGTAAGTCAGTTCATTATTCTTATTTTTAAAAATGTATGGAATTGTGTATTGCATGGAAAAAATTGGGAAAGTGCTGTGACGGAGAACTTGGTGCAAAATCCTGGCCTGTTGCTTGCTGTGCTTAAAACACTTATGTATTTCCTGGTGATTTTATCGTTTGCTTGAAAATATAAACCATCTCTGTGTAAGCTTCTTGAGGCTGGCTCCCTGCTATTTGAAAAAAAACTATGTCAATTTTCAAATTGTCTCTCTTATTTGATACAAGTCTCCCAGGCTTTATTCCCAATACTACCTCAATCTTTTCATTCTTGCTTCTCCAAACTGAGTAGCAAAACTTGAACATTTGCAGAAAATAAATATACAGAATTTCTTAGAAGCATGAGCAGTGATGAAGGAATTTGAAACCCAGGGAGGGAAGGGACAGTCCTCATAACTGACTGCTCTAGAAGCCTTGTGCCAGTCTAAATGTAAGTTTTCCTTACATTCTTGTGTTGGTTCTCTGTGGAACATCTTGGGGATGATTACTGTATTGCATACAAGGAGTTTTCTGTATTGAATGGTTTAAGGGAGGTTGCAATTAATGTTCTTGGCTGGTTTTCTATGTTCATTTACCTGCTTTTCCTTCTCTTGTGAGCTGGATATGAGTACACGTCATTCTGTCAATGCATGTGGAGTCCTTGCTTACTGTGTCTCATCCAGGTCAGCACATATTTAGTACATTTCATCACTGTGTCTCATCTTTTCTCCAGTCCTCATATTTGCTGTCCTCACAGAAGTGTGCTTGGCATTACCAATTCACTTTAGATGCTCAGAGTTCTTCAGCAAGACTTTTAAAAGATGGCGAGTATTCCCTTCCCAACTCAACATCATCCTCCAGTGTGACAGTCTGTGGGGTTTCTTACCTGTGACTTCTATGTGGATATTTCTTCCCACAATGTCAGCAGTTGTTCAGTGGTTTCCAAACTGTGATTCTGTGGCAGGTTGCCACAACGTATCAGTGGCCATCTCTTCTCCGAGTCCTGTTCCTTAACTGGAGGTTCATGAGGAACTGGTTCTAATAATTAGTCAAAGCTGATTCAGTCCTTCCTTCCCCTGCTGTGCTAGTGCTTAGATTGATTTGATTTTTCGTCTGAACTGATTCTGGATGATGGCTGGCTAAAAACTGCTTTTTGGCAGGTGGTAGGGAGAGCTTGGTAGCCTTCTGCTGGTTTAGCTTCTTGCATTGTTTCGCCATGGCACAGGACAAGTGCTTGAGCCAGTGCAAAAGAGGGGTCCAAAAAGGGCTGGAAAGGAAGCTGGGGAGAAAGGAGATGGCTGCAGTTTCATCTTGAGCAAATCCAGCAGGCTGCCAGTGGAGGGGGGAGAACTGCTTCCCCTTCCAGCTCCCTGCTGCATGCCTTATGTCAGCTTTGGAGTTCGCTGGAGCAGTTCTTGAGTTGATTCAACTTGCTAACCCAGTCAAACCTTTTGCTGACATAATGGTTTGAATCAGCTTGGGGAGGGGCCCTTAACTGAGGGAAGGGGGAGAACAGCATTGCTGGGGCTTGGAACTGAGAAAAAAGGATTTGGTGGAAATGAGACTAATTGCTTTAGCCAGGCTAAACTCCATGTCAGTGAAAGAATGCGCACCTTGAAGGTATCACTGGTCTTGCCTTACGGCACCCAGAGCTGTCCTGGGTCACTCTAGGTAGAAAGGAGAAGCTGGGAATTTGTGGAAAAGGCCACTGGACCAGTTAAAAAAAGCATGACAAATTCTGACAGCTTATAATTGCCTCTTAAACACCAAAAAGATTAAAAAACCTTTTTAGCTGGTAAAGTGCTTGTTTTATGTTGGTTCATCACTTTGCATCCTGTGAGAGGCAGCATTTTTATGCCTGTAATAGATGCCCTTAAGTCAGATGTACAAAGCAAGACCTGAGTAAATAAGTGTAAGGGAAAGCAGACTTGAGTGTCCTAGGGATTAGCAACTTTCAGTAAGAGGGACAGGAGTTGCAGCCAAGAGAAATACGTGGTGTATGAACTGGAGTTTGGCAGTGGGAAGAAGGATGCTGGTAGAATTCTAGTTGTAAAAGTAAGGCATAAAAGACAATGTTTGGACCTTAATACTGCATGTGCTAAACTTAAGATCTTACCTGAATACTGGAGTTAAGAAACAGTTACAGACTCAGTGACCACTACTGGCAGAAGTTTCTTAACATGTAAATTATTTTTGTTGCTGTTGAAATATGTAAAACCTGAGTTTTGGTAACTTTTGTGTTCTATAAGGAAAGATTTGTTTCTGTTGGTGGGTACTAAAAAAATCTTAGTTTATAGCTAAGCATAGCTTTTACTCTGTATTGGATACTTTAATTAGAAGAATTACCTGCATGTAGGCCTCTCAGGTCATAGAGGACATGGTAATATTCATTACTATTTCTGGTTTTTATTTCCAGGATAGGTGTTTTTATCTTTCAAGAATGTTCTTCTGTTCAATGTATTGTAATTTGCTGCAGTTACACTATATTTTATTATTGTGGCTATAGAAAGAGAAATCAAAACATATAAAGAGTTCAGCTTCTTAAAAAAAAAAATCCGATTTGTATCTTTTTGCCTCATTACAACTTAAACTGCCAAATGGTTGCCCAGCTTTGAAAGGAGACATTCTTGGACTTCTTCCCAGATCATTAGTACAGTTCATAACTACATTATTCAAGAAAGCAGTCTCTTCAGTGTCCTGTGCTTTTGAAGTTGGGACAGGTTGGGATCTTCTGGCACAGTTTAGCTCTTGGCACTGCTGCCTGGGTGAAGTAAATGCAGAGATGACACCCCGTCCAAATGCTGCCTTCAGTAACTTCAGTAACTGGGTTTTATAGCACATTGAAGCCTTCGTGTTTTCTGGGGAGGACTGGAGGTGGAGTGGAACAAACCTGGTTTTTATTATTTTGGTGATGCAGGCTTCATTTCTGAATGTAACAACAAATTGGAAAGCTTAACATGCAAGTTTCAGCCCTCCCTTCTTCTACCTAAAGTTCATCATAAATCAAGTTATATTCAGTGTTTCTAAATTTAGAATGACAGACTAAGCAATTCAGTTTTCTTAAAAACCAGCAAAACTCCCACCATCCTGAAACATATATAGAACTCATTTAATTGCAAGTAGGTGAAGGAACTTTCTTAGTTCTTTCAGTTTCTCCCAATTCAGATGCGACCGTGTCTTTGAGAAATTGTTTTGTGATAAGATAGTGAGGGGAGTAGTCTGATCTTGGAAACCAGCTTTTGAATTTACTGAAGTCTGTTATTATTTCTAATTTCAGTGTGAGTTTGTCATACAGGGAACTGTTCCTCTTTTGGCAGTGTGGCTTTTTGACATTACTGAGCCATGCATAACCTCGGCTCTGTAAATTTTGATCTTTTGGTTAGGACTTCCATCCTGCTGCAAATTTGAAGTGCCCATCTATGCTGAGGAATAAATCTGAACGATCCCTGTGAAATTTGTGGTGACAGATAGAGGAGTATTTATGGATCTAAATGCTTCTGTAGAGCTCTAGTGCTAGAGTTGCTGAGTAAATACAGGGAAAGGTAGAAATCTTTTCTGATATTCGAAGGGTGTCATTGTCTGCCTTATACAAATGTAGTGTTTTTCTGAACCTTTCATTGAAGTAGGAATGAGGCTGGAATTTTCATAATGCCATATATAGTTTGTGGTTAAGGACAATTAAGCAGACATACTACATTTAAGAAACTGTCTTTTTTCATGGTTACTGCTTTACATTAGTCATTTTAGGTGTTGTTATGAAAAATATACAGACTGTGCAAACTGACAGAGTATGCAAATAAAGCACATAAAAGGAAGGTTTTGTGTTAGAGAACTAAGCAGGAATGGTAGAGCTGAGTTTGAAAGAACTGTGTTGTCCATTCCTGTATATTTTTTTCTTCCTGCCTCCTTATACCACCTTCAGCATGCTAAACCAGTATTTATTTGCCTGATGCTATGAAATGAATTTTGTATTTTTATGTACTATACATAAATGTTTGAGATATATAATTTCAGGGAGTATTGACATGCAGATTGCTCTGATAGCTTGATGTGAATTATACTTCTATAGAGGTGGGGTGTATATTACTAAATTCTATCAAGAAAATCCATTCTCAGGTGAGCCAGTACTGAGTGCTTAGAAAACTGCTTTGCTCTTGTCTTTCTGATCCTTCTCTATAGAGCAATGTAATTTGGGCAATTTCAAACCTCCATTTTTTTTGTTCTCTCCCTTCTTCTTTAATGTTATTTTAATAATGCACAACCCAGAAGAGTGAGCTGCCCATTACAAAGACTTATAATCAAGTTGAAAAGCTTTAAGCTGGTGCTTCTTATTCAAACTTCAAAATGTCTCCCCAGTACTTCTTATTTTTGTAAAGAGTATTTAATCAGTAGCTACTGATGGCCTGATGCACCATCATAGTGCAAGTTATGCTTGATATGAGTGATGGTATCACATCTGTCTGTCTGTCTCCCCTGTTTCTGTCCTGTGTGCAGCTGCTCCGCTACTTCTGTACGCGAACCGCCGGGATCTGCGGCTGGTGGATGCTGCCCACGGCAAGGAGAACGCCACAGTGATTGTTGGGGGCCTGGAGGACGCGGCTGCAGTGGACTTTGTGTTCCTCAAGGGCTTGATTTACTGGAGTGATGTCAGCGAGGAAGCCATCAAACGGACAGAGTTCAATAAATCTGGGAGTGTACAAAATGTGGTCGTTTCTGGACTTCTGTCGCCCGACGGGCTGGCCTGTGACTGGCTGGGGGAGAAGTTGTACTGGACAGATTCAGAAACAAATCGGATTGAGGTTTCTAACTTAGATGGATCACTGAGGAAAGTTTTGTTTTGGCAAGAATTGGATCAACCCAGAGCAATTGCCTTAGATCCTGCAAGAGGGTAAGTCTTTTTAAAAATAGTTACAAATACCAAAATTTGTACTGTTTCTTGTTTGTTGAATGATTTCAAATGCTGTTGTCAAAGTTATCCTGAGCCATTTTGCATCATTTGTTTGTCTTTCTATTGGTGTGATTTGCAGACTTCTGAAATTCCATTCATGTTGGTTTGTGAACATCAAATCATCAGGAATCATCAGACTTTAAAAGACAGTGCTAGAAACTTAGTTTGGCTGTAGTGCAAAAAATTAGCAGAAGTGGAGAAGTTCTAACCGAAAACCTAATACAATCTGCTTTCCTCAAAAGGCTGTGTCAGCTGCCTGTGGACAGATAGACTTGCGCCTCTGAAGTGTCAGGAAATTAATTTTTTTGGAGCTCTTTTCATTGTTGATATTCATGCTATATTGAAGCATCTAAAGAAATGGGAGAAGTCAACATACTGTATTAATAACAACTTGAGATGCGTTTTGAAGTTTAATCAGAAAATTTACAAGAGATGTTCCTTTCCCCAACCCCGGGGAAACTCCTGTTTTAAAAAATCCTGTGTTTTTGTCCCAGCTCCTTTTAGAACTGATGTTATTTTCTCAGCTCCTGTTTGAGTCCCTGGGTGTGGCTCTTTTTGCTCTGTTCTTGGGACAAAGCAGTGTTTGCCAGCAATGGAAAATTCAATGGTGTTTTGCTGATGTTACATAAATGGCTGGCTTGAGGTTACTCCAAAGTCATCTGTGACAAAGTGTTTGGGAGAGCCTAAGTGGAATACTACTGGAATATCCTTGATCCTGTGGAACCTTTTGAAAAGATTTTATATGTGTTGTATAGAACTTGTTTTCACTATATATTTTTTCCCTCAACAAGCAAGGAAGTTAATCTATTGTACTGCCATTTCATATATGTTTTTCAGCCAACTCTTTTTTTGGGGGGGGGGGAAAATTAGTGCCTTGTTTCTTTGGAAAGATGAGGGTTGTGTATCACTGCTTGCCACTTCTTTGCATTATAATTTTTGTTTGGCTTTTTTCCTCCAAAAGAAGAAAATCTCTGCAAAACATGACTTCTTTCCTGAACTTCATAGAAATACTGTATCTTGAATATTTTCTTCTACAGTTTCAATAGTCTTTTGACAATTTATATACAGAAAATATGTTTATTTTCCAGTACCTATATTTCAAGTTTTGGAAGCAACTAAAGTATGGATGTATGCTTTTCCCATGTATTTGCAACTTGTAAATAGAAGGCAATGATAGTGTTATTTTTTTTTTATTAGATTCTAAAACCCTTTAAGAGTGTAAGGAAACTGTAATGTTCATGCCTTTTCTACCCACCACCCTAAAAGTGAGAGAAAAAGGAAGGAAACACACATTTAAAATGGCTTTGATTTGGCTTATACAGAGAGAATGAGATTCTTGTTGGTTAGGAGTAAAGCTCTGTTGTGAAGCCAGTTGGTCTTTTTCTTGAATAGTGTTTGTATTTTCTGAATATGCACACTAATATGCTCAGCAATCCCAACTCAGTGTTTGCATACTTTTTACTCTTTCTTAATAGTTTACACCAAGAGGAAAATACAGGAAGAAAAATGAAATAGGTCAAAAGTAAAGCAAACCTGTAAATTTTTCCGTACTGATGATCTGTTAAAGCAGTAGGAGTAAGTGCTCCTGAAACTATGCTGAAATTTAAAACAAAACAACTCAAGCAATAAAAAGCAAAAACCCTTCCCAAACCCAAACAAAACGCCTCTTAATAAAAAAAAAATAAAATTCCTCCAACAACTGTAATTTAAGGACAGAATATTTTCTTCAGAATTTTTGAATAGGTTGCTTTCTAAGTTGTTATATGAAGGCTATGTTTTAGGAAGGTAATACAGCAGTATATATCCACTTTCTGGTTTACCATATCGCAGTTGCAAATACTGTAGTTCTCATATGCAGTTTTATAGCAAAAAAGCTTTCAGCTTTTAATAAATTTGGTTGCAATTCAGAACAGCCTCCAAGGCTTGAGATATAGGTGGAAGGGTGACGTGAGCACAGATATGTAAATTTAAAAAGATAAATAATTCCCCAAACTCTTCCTGTATGGATGCTTCTTTCACTAATATTTACAAATTTTTCAACCCTGTAATTGTCTTTTGGTTTCAAGATGTTGCCTGGCAAATAGTGGTAGGAGTAAGCCATAAAACATTTTAAGAGCAGTTGATAAAATCTGAAACCTGGAAAAGCAAGAAGAAACCCTTCACATTTTCCTGTAGCACATCCTATTGTGCTCAGATGATGTTTGTTTCAGATACAATTTTCTAAACTTGCAATTCATGAAAATAAATAATTTAGCAGCAAAATTTACACTAAGGTCCTTTTTACCAATAAGTTCAGTTTTTCATCAAAGTTAAATTGTGAAAAATAGTTTATCTTAATTAGCATGCATCAAGTGTTTCATGAGAAAGCTGTTTTTAAGTCCTAAACTACTAGTCTTTTCTGGAGTTGGATGTATATTTATTAAATGCATCTCTCTTGCTGAAAACATGAGAATACATACTTGGAAATTAAACGTTAACTGTATAAACTAGCAGAGATATATAATGATGAATAATGCATTTTCTTGGAAGTGTCTCTCAAAGTGAAATTTAGTAAAATTTAAATGTTTCACCAGTGCTCTGGTCTTTCTCACAACTGCTTCTGTAGGATACTCCAGGGTTTTGAAGGTCATTGCTTGATGCTATTGTGATGCATTGGAGGAATGTCATTGGGCTCTTTCTGAGCACATTACAGAAACAGTTGAGGCATTAAAGAATAAGTGGTTTGGGCAGTCTTTACTTCACTGCCAAAACCATCAGGTGATCATGTGTGAGGTTCTATGTGTAACTGAGATACTGGGGTAGAAGTTAAACTTGGTTCCTATGTCTTATTAGTAATAATAAATGCAATGGATTTACTAATGTAAAGTATTTCTTATTTGATAACTGAGGCACAGCAGCCAAGTTTGGGTTTTTTTTTTTACTTACTGTAGGAAAGCATTAAAATCTGAAACGTCTATATTTTTCTTACTGGCCATCTCCCATGTACATCCTGAGGTTTGAGCTTCTCATTGCTCATATTCATACACTACTACTTAGTTGTTTCACTCATCTTGATAATTAATAAAATACTTTGTGTGTAGCAGGAGAGCGAAGGGCCCCCGAGATGAAGGTGAGGGGAATGGGGTGTTTGTTCAGTCTGCTGCTGAAGTGAACTGGCAGGTTCCAGGAAGGCTCCTTTGTCCTATCCATCCTTTCTAGAACTGTTTATTCCTGACTGGTGTTAAACATGAGACCCTTTTTAATAAGATCTGAAGCTGGGGATAACACTGACAGTTTAATGGTGACTTTTTGCTAGGAGAAGACCAGGTGTTAGATCACCAAGTGCAGGAGAGCACTGTATTTAAGAACAGCTCACATGAAAGTTAAGTAAGTGGAAAAGAGATTTTTCTGCTTCAGCACTCAAGATGAAAAAAAAAAGGCTTATCCAGATGCCTGAGCAAGTACAGCTTTAAAGTGCAGTAATGTATATTTGTACTGCTGTTTTCTTGTGTTTTGGTTTTTTTTGTTGTTGAGGGGTTGGTATGTTTGTTTATTTTTGGTTTTTAATTTGTACAGACTTTTTGTCCTTATGGTAAAGACTTCATTATCATAGTTTCAATTCCCCAAAAATTACCCTATAGACAACTGGATCAGATTTCTTCATAAGGAGCACTATCAGAATGAACTGGCTCAGTTTTCTGAACTGGCCAGTTCTATCAGAACTCTCTTCTATGTGTATTGTTTACCACAAAGGGAATTTTAAGTGCCTCCTAGAAGTGGTGACTAATTGCTTGCTTTTCAGGACATGTTTTAAATCAAGTGACTATATAGAGTTACCTTAATTGTTAAGGTCTTGTAAAACTTTAGGGTTGTAAAGGGTTTTGGTTAATGAATGGAATTAGAGTACAAAGAGCTACAACGCTTTTTATGGCAGCTGAAGTTGATTTCTGGCTGAAGTACTTTGAATGTTGGGGAAGATCTTCAGGTTTAATGGGTACCCCTCCCCCAGCAGACTTGCATTTTTTTTCATGCAAAATTTTGCAGGGAACACATACTTTATGGACCTACTTCTTTTGGTTTTTTGAAAGTTGAAAACTGGTGTCTGACTATGTCAAGCACAAAAGCAACTGTAGTACAGGCCTTACATCTGCACATTGCAACAAAATTGTGGAAAGTGGTAGTACTTTTGCCGAACTGTAGATGTTGTACAACAGAATAAGAAAAGGGAAATGGATAGCTCTAATAACAGTTACAGTACCTTTGATTTTGGGAAAAAACATTTTAAAAATAAAAAAAAATCAGAATTTCCCAGTAAATTCACTTGTACAGTATATTTTTGTTTTCAGGCAAGTTAACATTATATAAAATAGCACTTTGGGTGTAAATTCCCAAAATAATGCAAGTAAGTGAAGGCTTTGCTTTATACCTTCTCCTGTTTGATGCCACCTCTCCTATGAGCAGATAATTTCCGATTGGAAATCTTTCTGCTGCACCTCTGCTGACAGTAATGTTACGCAGGTGACAGATCAGTGTACTCAGCTGATTGTTTGTTCTATAGCCTGGCCTGTGTACTAAGGAGGTAATTTTGAGGTTTTATAGGTGACATGTGGACAAGTGATATGAAATCTGCAGACTCCTGTCTGCGCAGATTATGGCACAGAGATTTATAAGGTGTATTTCATCTTTCTCCACCTAAGGAGACTCTGTTGATCAGATAATGTTGATTGCAAATACATCACTAAATTCGGGTAATAACTAGGATATTAAACAAACTGCAAGGTTCATTGCTTAAAGATTGCAACAGTATTGCAGAGGTTGTCCTGATGAAAGTGCACCAGGAGTGGCCTACCTTGTCTCTTGGGGCTGCATGTGACTCTGGGAAGATCTAAAATGAATCTCTGCTGTTGCTGGTAGCTGGGTGATCCTTGCACAGGCACTGCTGGTTGACCTGAATCTCCAGG